CCAGAGGAAACACCACCTGCTAATACATGATGTGTTGGATTGAGTAGGTTACAGCCGGGAGAAACCAACTGAGATAGTAACGGAGAAGAATGTTGGATCGTGCTGTCTACACTCGCCAAGTGTGCGGCTGATGACCGGAGTGGCACGAGTTGAGGGAAGAACTCGAAACGCGAAGGTTCGCGTGTTCCTGGACTTGGGCGCCGACGCGTCATTCGTGACTGCAGCGTTGGTGTCAGCAATCGATGCAGAACACGTTGGGGTTGAAAATGTAGAGGTGAAGCCGTTCGGCGCAGAACCAACCCAACAGCGCATGGATAAGTACGCCATCACGATCAAGGGTAGCTCCGCTAGCATTCGGGTAAGCGCGTTCGTGAAACCAACGCTAGAGCTGGACCTGAAGTGCGCAAGTCCGCAGACCATTGCGCAGTGGCACAGTTGGGGAGTAGAGCTGAGTGACAAGCCTCAACAAGGGACATCAGACGAAATACACATGCTGATTGGTGCAGACTATATCAACGCGGTACTGCACAGCAAGAAGGAAGTTAATGGTGAGATGGCACAGAGATAGGTAGTGTATTATCTGATCCAGCGTCTGCACCAAGTCGAAACGTCAGCCGGTGACCGTGTCATGTGTCACAGCCCACATCAACAAACTATGGCAGTTGGATGAACCTCCGGAACAACATCAGCACCTGCCATCTTTCCCGCTATGTCGCCAGGGCAGCGGGTACCAAGTGGGTCTCTTGTGGCGAAATGAGCGTCGCCCAACGGATAACTATGCTCAAGCTAGAGTCATCGCAATGCGGCTTCTTGAAAAGCTGAAGAGGAATGGGAAGCGTGCGCTCTATGATGATGTGCTGATCAGGGAGTACCGCGAGCTTGGAGCAATTGAGCTGGAGCCATGTGAGAGCAATGCCGGGTACTATGTACCGCATCATGGTGTATTCCGCGAGCACGCTGCAACCACGAAGTTAAGAGTGGTGTTCAATGCCTCGGCGACGGCTCCAGATGGCAAGTCGTTGAACGACATGGTTGACCCTGGACCGTCGCTATTGCCGAGTCTCGCCGGTATGCTATTAAGGTTCCGTGAATATAAGAGAGCGCTGCAAGCGGACATCCGCAAGGCTTTCTTCATGGTCGCGGTTAATCCCGAAGACCGTCCGGACCTGCGTCTCTTGTGCCCGGTCGAAGCGACAGCGATGAACTGTTAGCCTGGAGGCTAACGAAACTGCCATTTGGCGTAAACTGCTCGCCATACATGCTTACTGCGGTGATTCAGCATCACTTGAAGGAGCTACGGGCGTTGTCTGTACCCAAAGAGCGAGATCGTATTGATCTCTTGCTCACGAGTTTCTACGTTGACGATTTGGTCTCTAGTGTCTCAAATGCCTCGGAAGCCAAGGAGATGCAAGAGTTCAGCGTGCGTGTGCTTACAGATGCAGGCATGGAGTTACGCAAGTGGCGAGGCAACGAAATCCCGTTCGATCCAGAGGCCGGAGATAAAGTCCTCGGTCTGAAATGGAAAACCCGTGATGACTTGCTCAGCATAGCAGCGCTAGGAGAGTCCGATAGGCCGTCTGTTTGGACCCAGCGATCCCTCCTCAAGTGTGTTGCGTCAGTGTTTGATCCGCTAGGTCTAGCAGCACCGGTAGTTGTGCCGGGAAAGATACTGCTACAGCAAGCCTGGAAAGTCGGAGGCGACTGGAATGATAAGTTGCTTGATGACATCGCAGCCGCATGTGCGCAATGGTGGGGAGAGTTGGCCGAAGTGATGAGCATTGACATACCACGTTGGATTTGCTGCAATCTTGACACGCCAATTGCGCTTCATGCCTTCGCGGATGCCAGTGAGAAAGCGTTTGGATGTTGTTTGTATGCAGTCGTCAATGGACAGTCGCACTTGGTATTTGCCAAGGCCAAAGTGGCACCCGTGTCTCTGCCCACGTTAGCCCGCCTTGAGTTACAAGCAGTATGTCTAGCGGCTCGCTACGCTGAGTTTGTGGTGAAGGAGCTGCGTGTGACCGTCACGCAAGTCTATGGCTGGACTGACAGTCTCACTACCGTTCATTGGATCAGTAATCCATCGTACAAATGGAAAACATTTGTGGCTAACCGCGTCAGTCAAGTCCAGGAGATATCGAAGAAGGTCGGCATTGTGTGGAACCATTGCCCGGGCCTTCACAACCCAGCAGATTTACCGTCGCGTGGGAGTAGTGCACAGCAGATCCGTAGTCCGTTCTGGAGGGGCGGACCAACCTGGATCACGGAGCCCAATGACTGGCCCACCGCATCCTCAACTGCAGCTACAGATGAGTCCAGTGTAGAAGTACGAGTGTCAGCCACCGCCTGTAGTCGAGAATCTGATAAGGAATGGTGGCTCTGATTCAGTAAATGGTCGAGGGCACAGGGCATGGTGACTCGGATGTTGCAGTGGAAGCACACTGAGCCTCGTGCTGAACTCTATTTTGCAGCAGACAACGTATTGTACCGCATCGTTCAAGCCGCATGTTTCGCTGAGGATCTTGAGCTGATCAAGCAAGGTCAACCAGTGAAGCCTGGGTCGAAGGTGTATCAGCTTGCACCGTTTCTGGATGAGCATGGAGTGCTCAGAACCGGGGGATGACCTCAGCACAGCGAGTTGGCGTATGGAGCCAAGCACCCAGTCCTGTTAGGCAAACATCATCTGACCGAGTTGCTGTTGGAGAAAATGCATGTTGAAAGGATGCACCAAGGTGTAGAAGGAGTCTTGTCGTTCATCCGTCAGAAATTCTGGATTATCGGTGGTCGACGAGCGCTACGCAACATTACTCAGCGATGTGTTACATGCCGCCGCTACAAGGCTAAGGCTGCCTCAGAAGTCTGCCCGCCGCTGCCAGAAGACCGAGTTGTTCACGAGAGGCCGTTCGCAACTACCGGCATCGACTATGCTGGTCCGTTGTACGTGCGCCGTGGTGAGTCATCTCCGAAGGAATGGCTAGCATTGTTTGTGTGTGCCACCACCAGAGCAGTTCACTTGGAGGTGGTCGATAGTTTAAGTACTGAGTCATTCTTGATAGCATTTCGGAAGTTTGTCGCGAGACGTAGTTTGCCGTCTCGGATCAGGGCTGACAACGCTACAACGTTCAAGGCGGCATCTGACAAACTGAGTGTGCCATGGATGTTCAATCCTCCAGCTGCACCATGGCATGGAGGCTTCTATGAGCGAATGGTTAGTACAGTGAGGAGTGCCTTGAAAAAGGTAATGGGAACAGCGTTTCTGAAGGTCCAGGAGCTTGAGACCCTCTTGTATAAGGTTGAAGCAGTGGTGAATAGTCGTCCGCTAACTTATGTGTCTGATAGCCTGGATGAGCCACCAGTAACCCCTGCAATGATGATGGGTAACATCTAGGTGTCGTCAGAGAAGCCAGCAGGTACCCTGGACGCTGCGCAGATGTCATCGAGATTGCGTTACCTCAGTCGGGCACTGAAGCATGTCAAGAATCGTTGGGAGGTGGAGTACCTAAGTCAGCTGAACAAGCACCAACAGACCATGACGCGCCCTTTAGCTGTGGGTGATGTTGTCTTTGTTCTCGATGATACCAAGCGCAAACAGTTCTGGCGTTTGGGACGGATCATCGAGTTATTCCCTGGTCGAGATGGTAAGCGTCGTGTTGCCAAGGTTAAAGGGGCACTCCGGCTTCATTTTCGACGCCGAGTTTTCGATGCCAAGACGAAGGTTGGTGAAAGAGAAGATGCCTCGAACAAGAACGAGTCTCCAGAAGCGATCGAGTCGAGCAGGAAGACGACTTTTGAATTTCGCCGAGCGAGCGCTGATGACGTAATGAGGGATTAGCTTGCCAGTGGAAATGCATCTGCGCACATACATTTCGCATACGTTTTGGCCAATTTTCAATCGAAGAGGAGGTTGTTTTCTATGTTCTCTCAACGTCGTGAGCGATCCCGTCTTCTATATCCTTCCAGGTACCCTGAAGGTCCTCCAGAGGAGAATTTATCTCCAGCAAAGCGTTGTTGATCCGCTAAATTCGTCTTGAGACATATTCACCCAGTGCAGTGCTGATAAATGTAGAATGTTGAATCTGTGATAATTGTCGACGATGGAGAGAGAGGTTGATAGCCGCTGTCGCAGGGAAAGTGAAGCTGCTGGAAGTAACAACGGGGAGTTTGTTAGCATCACATGAGCATCCAGACTTCAAAGCAGCTTGACGGAATCGGGGAGTACTGACTATTTGTCTCCGACTCAGTTTAGTGAATTTTACGACCAGGAATTATTCGATCAGGATCCCTTCTACAAGATATGTAGTACAGGTGATTTCTGAACTTGACGATATGGAGACGGACTAGTAGACCTACCAACAACGTGTACCTGCAGGAGATTCACCCAAGGATATTGCTATCCTCTTCAGTGGCTGTTGTTTTTTAGTAAAAATATGTTCACTTCTCTCAACATACTCGTGCATGGCAGCAAGAAGGTGCGCTATGGAATTCAACGCCACAATCTTCGCCCAGCTGTGGATGAATCACGGTCAAGTCATGGCAGTACACATACTTGAAACAGATGAGAAATTGAAGTTCATTTGTGATGGGAAGTTTGACAGCCCCAGTGACCGAGTCAAGCGTTGTCTTTTGCCGTGGCACAAATTGCTGAAGAATCCGAGATGGTCTTGGAATTATGCACATGGATACTACCAGAAATAATGGTGGCATGAACCATTGTGGAATGGGACAGCTCACGGAGAATACTGGAATAGCTCAAGTATCTCTAGGTGATTGTAAATCCTGTTCTGGCTGATAGCTTCGGCCTGCTGCGCCCGTCCATGTACAATGATGGTAACATGTATTTCTGTTTTCTACATATTTGCTGGCTACTGTACTGTGGTATTGCAGTTGCAGGTCCCTTATATATAGAAATATGTTCAACCCCCCCCCCCCCCCCTCCCCCTCCCACATTATAAATATGAACTAACAATTTCACTGTTGGACTTGCCGGCGGCTACAATATATAGAGAGCAAAGGATTAATTTATAGCAAAGAAAAGGACCAGGGGACTACAAGTTACGCTATAATGTCCACGAACAATTTCACTGTATTTGAAATAATTTTGTTTGATACCCTGAGAACTCTGAAACTTTGCAGCACTGTGGATTATATGTGGATACAACATTTATGGAAGGAAAAGTGGAATATTCTAACACATTGTTCAAATAATTATAGCACTGTTGAGATTGTGAGCACATTCCAATCAGCACTCTACATATTTATAAGCGGTGGCAATCGTTAGGAATAGGTCATGAGTTGTCAGAGTGCTCTAGTATATGAGAGAATGTTTTGTTTGTCTAATCGACGGCTCGTTTGAAGCCAGAGTTGTTTAAACTTGTTTCAGTCGACTTGATTCTAGACCGTAGTCGAAGGAGTACTATGAAGTATACACCAGACGTAGTCCAAAAGGTATCTCGTGAGAATTCTGTCGGTACACATCAGGTATCAGCTTGCACAGATGGCTCCTCTCTGTTTCTTGAAAGCCTGTATAGTTGGACTGTGGCTCCAGCGATTCCCTTCTCAGAGCAGAGACCATACCCAATACGGTCAATGCATATTGGACAGACCTGTGTGCACAACAGAAATAGTGGAGAGAAATCTCTCAGCTCATGAACACATCAGTGAAGTTTGAACTGCCGTTGTTTGTGGCCATCAGTATAAACCTATCGACTATAAGAATAATGTGCAAGAAAAAACTCGACCGTAAAATCCCGCCAGAGCGCCCCGTCTCTCCCATCCGCCCCTCCCTGACTTCTTGTCAGGGACGTGATTGATTGTATCCTCGTATGACTCTGTCGCAGTCTGTGATGCCGTACTGCACTGCAGACGTGTGCTCGACCCCGTTGGAAATGTATGCAACAGTGCCCACCCTCCTGACCAGGGATCGCACAAACCCTGCGTTTTGTCGGATCTGTTCGACTCCTGGCTCTCAGTGACCTTTGGTCGGTGTATGAGATGCACGAACAGTTTTCGTAGGGCGAGTACTTTTTCATGTGGCACTGAATGCGGCAAGTAGGACTCGCCCATCCGCCCCTCCCCACCTGAAGCGTCGAGGAGGTAGGGGCGCTCTGGCGGGATTTTACGGTATAACTACAGCTGGGGCCATGGAATTATAAAGCATCTAACTTAGGGAACTGCCGATTCTGGTCTGAGTTGCGTTCGAGGCCTGGAATTCATGATGGCTATCGTATGTTGCATTGACCAGAGATCATATAAAACTTCCAAAATGCCACATTGAAACACACACCACTTTCGAGTACTTTGGTATCCCCCACCAAATGGGCATTCGTTCCCGGGGTGGCAGGCGTCACCATTCGTTATGCCTGGATCAGATTTCATTGACCCCAACTGTCATGAAGAATCATTAATTTTTACTTTGACTGGATTTCAGTACAAGTTGTAGAACTGCAGAATCAATTTTGTTGTATTTGGGCAACCATTTCTCTACATTTCTCTATTTGGAAACTTAGGATAGAATTTTTTTATAAAATACATGTCCAAATTCCACATCTACCCAAATCGGAATACTTGATCACGTATTCAGTACTAACTTAAACGGAATGTTTAGAAACCGCCAGGGAATAGGAATGTGCTAACGAGAACTCCAGGCCAGGGTACTAGCATACGAACAAAACAAGATAAAAACTCACCAGTATACTTGTAGTAATTCATGTCGGTGTAATATTCACGATAAGCAACGAGGCGCCCTCCGATATGGTCAAGCTGCTTTGAAGTCTGGTTGTTCAGATGATACAAACGGGCTCCCCATTGTTACTTCCAGCAGCTTCACTCTCCCTGGGACAGCGGCTATCAGCCTCTCTCTCTCCATCGTCGACAATTATCACAGATTCAACATTCTACATTTATCAGCACTGAATATGTCTCGAGACGAATTTAGCGGATCAACAACACTTTGCTGGAGATAAATTCTCGTCTGGAGGACCTTCAGGGTACCTGGAAGGGTAAAGAAGACGGGATCACTCACGACGTTGGGAGAACATAGCAAACAACCTCCTCTTCGATTGAAAATTGGCCAAAAAGTGTGTAAAATGTATGTGCGCAGGTGCATTTCCACTGGCAAGCTAATCCCTCATTACGTCATCAGCGCTCGCTCGGCGAAATTCAAAAGTCGTCTTCCTGCTCGACTCGATTGCTTCTGGAGACTCGTTCTTGTTCGAGGGGTCTTCTCTTTCACCTACCTTCGTCTTGGCATCGAAAACTCGGCGTCGAAAATGAAGCCGGAGTGCCCCTTTAAGTTGAGTACCAGTACCCTGTTGAGGCCGATCCAGAGGTTAGTGCCATTAGAAGTATCGTCACAGGACGTGGCTCCTGGGCTTGCCGATGCCGCTCAACCTGCTATCGTCCCTCAGCAGCCAGCGTATGAACCGTCAGCACCGTTACCACCACCACGGCAGCAGGAGATGACGCGTTCTGGGCGCGTAGTCAGAGCCCCGGATCACTTTTGACTTGTGTGCATTGTTGTACGGCGGTGAGAAGCCCTTTGGTGGGGAGAATGTTGCAAACCACCAGTTCTCAATTGGGAAAGGCCTTCGCGCTTATGGCATTGTATTCGTTGCAATGTTGTATTTCGACTCCGCCGTACCGCTGATGTTGCTGCATGGCATACGCTATATGCGCTGTGTGCGTTTTGCTGTATACGCTGTTATGTCCCGTTTTATATGCGTATGTTTGCATGTACGCTGTTTTTTTGCATGCTATAAATAGCTGGTGTTATTAGTGTTCATTGTTAATTATTCGATGAAGTGAAATATACTGTGTAAAGGAAAAGAGTTGTCCTCGTGCCATGTGGTCGTACGATCCTGACAATTTAGAGAATCTTAGAGGGTTCACAACACGGGGCTGTACGGTATTTTTTTGGGCAAGCAGTCCAAAAATTAAAAATATTGTAATTGTCTTCGGTTTGCTCATGATGTTTCTCCAGGTGTCCGCAATACAAATCTAGCCCAGCTGGATTATAAATGCAGTGTTGAAACACAGACGAGCCAATCAAGCAACACGAATAATGACAGCGAGAAAGTCACGGCAGGCTCCCCTGTCGCCTCTGATTCTTACTTCTCCCCACTGGACTTACATTGTTCTACTTGATAAATTTATTCCCGTAGCTATGCAGAAGACGTTACTTCAGTAACGTCTGGCGCTAGCCAGGGTCCACACAGCTTTAATTTGGTGTTTGTTTGTGTGTTTGTTTGTGTCACGCCTGGCGCTATCCGTATCTGACGGCAAAAAAGCATAGGATGTTATAAATTTTTCAATTCTCCTTTTTTCAGGCATATCCTGGGATTCGAACCCGCACTATCCCCCTACATGCATTCCCCCATACACTTCGCATTCATACCCATTCTTCCAAGTTGCTTTACGTTATTATCTTGCGTTTGAAAGCCCTATTTGAATTATAGCAATAAAAACTGCTTTATGGCAGTTTTCTAAAAAAAGTTATTGTGTTCTAGTCCATGGACCCCGTCTAAAAAGTAAGAAATTAACGAAATGTGATAGCTGAAAATTAAAATTTCACACAAAACCTCACAATAATCACAACACTTGAAATGCTGCTTTCAACTTTATCTTGTACTGCACCAACAATTGGCAACATGCATGCATAGGAAAGAAGATCACGAGGGGAAAAGGTCTTCTACATGTAGCTTTTAATTCTGTGTGTGATTATTGTGAGGTTTTGTGTGAAATTTTAATTTTCAGCTATCACATTTCGTTAATTTCTTACTTTTTAGACGGGGTCCATGGACTAGAACACAATAACTTTTTTTAGAAAACTGCCATAAAGCAGTTTTTATTGCTATAATTTCTTTTGTTTTTTTCTGTTACCAATCAATGGAATGCCCTACAGTAGAGTCGCGCGCTGAAGAACGTGGAGCCCAAGAACGTCCAGCCTGAAATTCTAAGAACGCCACAGCCTAAAGCTAAGAACGGCGGTGTTGGTTTTCTGGAAGATTGTGAGATACATTATTATGATCCAGTACGGATTGTTTCTAAGAACGTGCTACAACAGTACAAGAACGCAGCCAGATTGCTGAAAAATAAGAACGTCCCAGGCTAACCCCTTGGAAACAACGTTCTTGGGCGCGCGACTCTACTGTATATCAATATGTAAATGATGGCTTTCACATCATATCAAGAGGTTTATGTACTCTTGATCATATCAATACCGTATTATACCAAGAGTACATAATGGGGGTTATGTACTCTTGATTATACGCATTGATGTGCAAGCCTTTTCTTGCAGAAAATGGCACTAGCATAATGCATGTTCTTCTGCGGGGAAACATGTGAGTAGTCAGGTGGTGATACTTTTTTTATACGGAGGTCATTCTGTGCTTGTTGCTGTTGCAGAATTTCATGACTCTGCCATAAATTTCTCTTGCCTTTCAGATATTTCAGATTTCCCCACCCTCGATCAGATTTATTTAAGAAATGTAGCCATGCGCCAGGTGCGTGTCGCAGATGTTTTTGTTGATTCTGTGTTTATCATGGTTTATAATCATGGGTTATCGTGATAAGGTCATCCAGCATCATATTGCACTGAAATCGTAATCCTGTTGATGTCGATACAACTCTTGGAAGTAGTTCAATGACTTCAAACTGTTAGTCCACGATTTTCTAAAACACAGCAAAGGAGGAACAATAAACATGTATTAAAATGTAAACAAATACATTGCTGAGTCCGACACCTCGTTCTAACAACTACACTGATCCTGAGGATAAAAGGGTCAAGGCTATGGTTGGAGGTACTGATACTGGGAGATAAACAAGGCACTCCATGATAATAAAATCTTACACATCTTTTGGTGAGTATGAATGATATCCAGTCGAACCTCTTTAGGACGAACACCAAGGGACCGATGGTATTTATTCTGTGAGTTTGTCTTAACCTATTTTATAACCAGTGAATACAATTATTTCTCCAATAGACATACGAATAGATTTCTTCTACAGCAAAAGATTCTAAGCCACACCGACTCATTGACTCGTCTCGTATGAAACAAAAGAGTCACTAGAGAGGTTCTGCAAAACGAAAATGCGTACAAACTTTCGCTCTACATCATGAAGTGCGAAACTTCGCAACTTTGGACGCGAAACTTGCAGGGAACGCGAAATGAACTGTTGTAGGAAATTTCGTGAGATCGAGTCATGGCGTACGTGCACTTGGCCCGCGCAAACTACGAAAATGTGCAGAACGCAAAGTTCGTGCAAAACTTCGTACACACTTTTGCAAGGACTGTCGCGAAACTTCGTTCGAATTTTCGTTTTGCAGAACCTCTCCAGTGAACCTTTCTTTAGCAACATGACGGCAACTGAAACAGCAACAGAGAAAGTACGATACATGTACTGCACATTCTTGCAGGTACTACAGGTACTACCAAGAGTACGGGGGGTTATGTACTCTTGGTACTACAAACAGATTGCAGATCGTAATTCTTGCTTTGGCAGCACGAAACTTTATTTGGGGCAGTGCAATCTCGGCAGTACTCACTCAAACAGCCCAGACTCGAGTAAACAAATGCAATCATACAAGTACGAGATTTTCACGAGACGAAACTGCACCCATTGGCTTGTTTCGTATGAAGCAAACAAGTTACTGAACCTCTCCACAATGGAGATTTTCCCTGATATGCGAATTTATTTGGCAAACTCGGTCAACGAGTCCTTGAACCTTTCCCTCCAGATTGGGAACTGCCAACGATAGTATGCCACTGACCAGTGCCTTACTTGTAACGTACTAATGTGCAATGAATATGAGTATTTTGACAACACATCTAACATAAGCCTTACCGTCGAGAAGGGGAACTTGCGTTCTTCGCACACTGTAGGCAAGGGCAAAGAGATAAAAATGGATCTAAATCCGAATAAAATCAGCACACGTTTCCGTAAATGAAAGGGTGAGCATAAGCAAATGAATCGAAGGAAACTGGTCAACTCAGAGATCACCTGTCATTGAGTATTCCGTAAAAGGAGGCCGCGGCAGCGGAAAAGCTAAATTTAGAAAGGAGATCCTGTCAGCTTTTCCATTATTTATTGCATTCCGCCCAAAATCAGCACACTTTTCGTAAATGAAAGAGTCAACACAAGCAAATGAATCAAAGGGAACTGGTCATTGAGTAATATTCCGCGAAAGGAGGTCTCAGCAGCACCGAAACGAAATAAGCCAGGCCAGGAGACGAAATATCCGAAACAGCTCATGCAAGAAGCAGTTCCAAAGAAGGAAGTTCCTCGTGCATGCACATCCGAAAAGGCAACAACAAAAAGTCTGCAATGCACACGCATGCGGCCATCCGGCCGCGCGATGGTAGGAGCCATGCCCATGGAGTAGCTCCGGCCTCCCTGCAGGACCAGGTACCGAGCATCTTACGTAGAAACTTACGTAGCTACGTAGACAACGTGTCTGAATAGCGGTGTCGTTAGGTAGCGCCATGTGAACACAATAATAGAAAAGCTGACAGGATCGCTTTTCTAAATATTGCGGGCAGCTGTATGTGGCCAGCTGTGTTTGATGGTTCGGTACGGTATGGGAGACGGTGTCGTATTACCCTCGATCGTACCTGTCCCGTACCTATCCCCTACCGTACCGTGCCATCAAAGACGGCTGGCCACAATGCATATTCAAATAGGGCTTTCAAATGCAAGATAACAATGTGAAACAACTTGGAAGAATTAGTATGTATGCGAAGTGTATCGGGGGA